TTGTGGTTGCTGATGTCGCTTTGTTGTTATTACTAGATCTCATATGTTGTTGCTGTTGCTGTTGTTGTTTGTGTCTCAGGGCTGCAGTTGATGGAGACTGTTGCGCAACTTTTTGCTTGCTTTGTTGTTGTTGTTGCAGATTTGTTGCAGCTGCAGGAGCAACTGAAGTTGCTGCTGCAGCTGCAGAAACAACTGAAGTTGCTGCTGACGCCGTATTCTTCACTCTACTCGATTTATCAACATAGGAAAAACCATGGTAATAAATCTCACCAGTTGGTGAGATGGTGATAGCGTTGTCGTCGATGTTTAGGTTGTTATTGGCTGACTGTTGGTTACTCAATGATGATAGGTTGGGATTGCTGTGTGATTGGGCCAATCCCGCTGTAGCTTGGTCAGCCGGTCCACCAATCACGTTATCCATATCATCTTTTGTCGATTTGCGCTGTTGCTTTGTTGTTGTTGTTGTTGCCGTTGATGATATTGATCTTTGTATGTTTTGTTGTTGTTGTTGCTGTTTTGCTGTTGATGTTAGTTGCTGTTTCATTTTGCTGCTGCTGCTGCTGTTGCTGTCTGACATACTGCTGCCTTTCACGTTTTTCAAGGTCCTGTAAATTGTGATTTTTTTTTCGTAAAAAATTGAAGAACCTTGCTAGTAACTGGGTAGATTTAAATGAAAATGTGATTATTAACCAATCCATCAAACAATTTACCAGTCGGTCAGTCAGTAAGTCAGTAAGTCAATCAATCAATCGATCAATCAATCAATCAAACAATTGATCAAAGTAGATGCATTAACAAAAAAATTAAGTGCTTCAAAATTATACCCAACCAATCCCCAACAACCAGTATAAAAATCAGCCATCCAATCAAAGTTAGGATAATATAATCAGTCATCTAATTCGAATTAGCAGAATAATTAACCACCCAATCAGAATACCTAAACCATACAATCGGCCAACCATCCAATCAGAAACCTTTTCAAATTTTTACCTGACAGGTGATCCAATGAAATCTTTTGCATTCGCTGCAGCACTAGAAGAGCTGCTTGACTGCTGGTTGTCACCATTAGATTTTTTACTGCTTTTACTACTCACATTGGTAGTAGTAGCAGCGGTAGAAGTAGTAACTGAAACAGCTACAGATGCTAAAGTAATAGTGGTAGTATTCGTTGCTGCTGCTGCTGTTGAGTCCTGATTAAATTTTTGGTAGTTTGAAATAAGAAACAATAGCAGCAATGGTAATCTGTTAGTTACTATCATTTATGAAGATTTTAAAAATTGTAAAACAACGAAAAAAAATTAGCAAGCAACAAAAAAAATCTATCACAACAACAACAACATGTACAACAGCAATTATATAAACAAACAACACTAATATCTGAAACTAAGCCAGCAGCAGCAACAACAGCAGCAGCAGCATGTACAACAACAGCACAGCACAACCAACAACAACACCAACCTTGCCAGGACCACAATCTCCATCATTATTGCCACTCCTACCAGCGAATTTCTCATAACCGTCGCCACTTCTTGTGGCAACTGCCGCATCACTGTGGCAGACATTAGCAGTGGAAACAGACGACGACATAGCAGACGACGACGTGGCTGACGACGCGATAACTTTCTTAGGCCCTCTAGCCGGGGCTTTGGGGCCCTCAAAGTCCCTCTCCCTGGATGTGAGGATGTTTCTGGTGGTGGATTTCTTTGGGGGGACTACCAGGGAACTGCCTAATTTTTTCTCCATCTCTTCGTGGGCTTGCAGGTAGCTGGGTTTAGGGTTAATTTTGTATCAATGCATCAATCAATCAATCAACCTATCAATCAATAATTTACTCAACCATTCATTCAGTCATTCATTCAATCAATCAATCAACAAATATATCCGTTCATCAATATTTGCGACACTTATTAATGGAGAGAGATGATAATTACTGCTTCATAAATCATTTCGTTCATTCGTTCGTTCATTCATTCATTCGTTCGTTCGTTCATTCATTCATTCGTTCGTTCGTTGTTTCGAGTCACTTATTTAAATCACTAAAATTGAACTAAATTACTTTTTGTAAATGGTCTTGTAGCCAGATGGCAATACGTTTTTGCTGCTATTATTATTATTATTGTTGTTATTGTTGTTGTTCTTGACTTTCATCTTCATCGTGACAACGTGCCATCTCATTTGGTTAGTTACCTGGTTGAGTTACGAAATAATAAAAACAACAACAATAACACATCATCATTGTCGTCATCATCATCATCACAATCATCATCGTCATCCTCACCACAATCATCATCGTCACCATCACCACAATCATCATTGTCATCATCACCACAATCATCATCGTCGTCATCACAACAATCATCATAGTTGGCATGGCAAAAAGGAACGCCCGAGAACAGACCTTATTATAGCCCCCCATGGACTGGACGACCTTGAAGAGTCTGTAGAGGTCAACCTCCTGCCCATCAGCCAGCGTGGGCATGTGATTGATGGGCGTGTTTCTCCTCTCCATCAGGTGGTACAAGCCGGCTATAAATAGATCTCGCTTCTCGGGCTGAATTGTGATTGGTCGATTTGAACTATTTGTAATCATGCCGGTCGGCGGTCAGTTTGAATGAATTTAAATTGTAGTTAGAGTTGCTTTGAGTTGATTATCTTAAGTTATCACTAGCTGGTCTACAATTGAACAACATGAAATGTGATTGGTCAGTTTGTTTAGATCGATGAATTTTTGTTTGCTATTGGCTGGCCGATTTAAACAGATTAATCTGAGTTGAAATTTCTAAAAAAAAAACGCCATATAATTATAAAGACATGCATGCAAAGCAAACAACCAATCAGCATCTCCGAAACATACATCGTCATCTTCGCCATCAACGTCGTCACCATCGTTATTATCATCTTCCTCATTATCCCAGCCAATCAGATCCTTCGAATCCCATCCAGCCGGTATTTCCGACTTCTCAAAATAGCACAGGGCTCTGTCCACTGCCAGTTTGTTGTGTTTGTCCTTGAACTTGTTGGCCAGGGATGGAGTGAACTCTTTGCACGAGTTCATGTTCGTTAGGTAGCTGAATTGAAGAAATGAATAATGGAAAAATTGAATGAATGAATAAATTAATTAATGAATGAATGAACGAATTAACGATTGATTAAAGAAATAAATGAAGAAAGGACACTAACAACTTTCCATCTTTAAACGATTTAACCAGCACCTCCTCTTCTCCAGTCGACATCTTGCAATCATCAGCCCCGTGCAGGCAGACGAGAGCAGGAATAAGCGTGCTACTGGTGCTATTATTATTTTTATTATTACTACTACTACTATTATTATTATTGTTGTTGTTGTTATTCTTGTTATTGCTCTTGGAGACGGATTGTTGTTGTTTTCTAGTGTTGCTGTTGTTGTTTTGCTTGCTGTCATCGATGTCGATGAAGACGACACTGCCAATTAAATCTTGACACCTATCTAGGAGCAAGTTAGCATTTGTTGTTGCTGCTGTGGCTTTGTTGTTGTTGTTGTTGTCATCAAATTTAAGTTCGGGTTTTACTTTGGAGGAATCCTTCAAATAAGCCCCACAACTATTATCACCGCCGCCAAAATTTTCACTACCACCACCACCATCGCCGCGATCGTCATCTTCACGCTTGATGTTCATCTGCCCTCTGCCCGTCACGTCGTTGCTGGTTGGAGCAGCCGACGATGACGTCATCTTGTTATCATTTTTGTCGTCACCTCTCTGGGATACGTCATCATCCTCGTCGTCGTCGTCATCGTCGCTGTCGGTTTCAGAGCTGGTCGTCGGTGAACGAAGGAGGAAATATAAATTGAAAAATAAAAGAATGAATGAACGAATGAATGAATGAAACAGAAAAAGAATGAAAAAATATGTGATTCACAATTTCTTTAACTTATTTTGCCTATTTTACCGAATTTTTTACCGAAAATTACAGAACTACCACCACCTTAACTTACTAAAACACTAGCCAACTTAGATACTTAACCGTTTACAAAATAACCAACTTGACTAACCAAGTGTCTTTTGCAGTTTTGCTGTGTTTGGTGTGTTCCTTTTTGACAACTGGGGACCAAAAATGATCAGGGTGTGAGAGTGGGAGGCCATCCAACGTCTGTGTAGAGGGGAAGATTGTGGGTAAAAAAAACAGTACAAATTAGTGAAATTAGGCAGATTGATCAATAAACCAATGAATAGAAAAATTTAGATTCCTTTATAGTTTTATATTATTTCAATTGATGTTGTCATTTTGTTGTGAGGAAATATTATGAATCATCATTAATAAGCCCCAATTAGTCAAATTAAGAAGATAAATATTCAATAATCACAAATAAAAATACGTAAATTTATTTATAATCATTCATAAAGTCAAGTAATATCAATGATATAATTGTATAAATGATAAATAAATAAATAAAATGAAAACATAAATAATAAAAGACAGACGTTGCATTTTGTGAAATGTCTGTCACCCTTGGGGCAGAGTTTCGACCTTTTCATCGTATTCTCATCGCCGTCATCGAAAACTGCATAGAAATTTTAATTTGATAACAACAAGAGGATATACAATTTTATCTTGTCAAATGAATGAGCCGATAAATTCATATAATTTCTCTTGAGAGTATGTTTGTAACTGATGATTAAATAGAATTAAATAGAGACCAGCGATTTTAAGATCTTTTTAACAATAATTGGGTTATATTAATTTGAAAATAAATATTTAAAAAAAAATATTAACCATATTTGGCATACTTGCATCAACATGAAAAACACACAAATCTAGCAAAATAATTTATAATAAATCTGAATCAATTATGATAATTAGTTAGACTCACCGACAGTATACAGGCTGTGGTCGGTTAATTTATTAATAGTAGCCTCCATGTATCTGCATACATCACTCCGCCAGACCTCAACTACAGAGCCCACCTAATTAACATAATTTACGTGGTAATTAACTATATAAGTTTGCATAAATTAGCATAATTAATTATAAACGAGGTAGTTGTTAATGAGGTAAACCTTAAGAGTGCCCTTGACATCTTTGTCATATGCTATGCAGGATTTTTGGCCATCCTTCAGGGTCAACTAGGATTGGTTGGTTAGTAAATGACATTTTTCACAAATTCTTCAAAAAATATCCACCATTTATTTATAAAATCATTTATTCAAAGGTGAATGCCGAACAGAATGTCGAATAACAAACCAAATTAAATTAAATTTAAATTAAAGTTGAATAAATTATCTATGCTAAACTTACTTTGCACTTGACCGACTGATGAACTTTGGTAATGATGGCCTCACAGAATGCTCCCTTGTATTTGGCACTGACCTCATCCCCTGCACTCAAATATGGCATTTCGTCGACCTATGTGTGACACGTAGGTGTATTTTTAGTTAGTTTATTTAGCATGCCCATTGTGAGTAATTATTATTATTATTACGGAAATTTATATACAGCGCTTTTTTATTGTTGAATCTCAAAAGCGCTACTAAATCATAGACAAATAAGACGGACATTCATTGTGCAAATAAATAAGTTTTAAGTTGACTTCGAAATTGTAAATATGATAGGTTAGGGTCACGTAAGTATGGAGGTAAACCATTACAAACAATCGGGCCAAGAACCGCAAAGTTGCGGGAACCCGTCACCAACTTTGTGGTCGGGATAAAAAATAAATTGCGCTCGGTTGATCGGAAGGAATATT